GAGAGGCGGTAGTTGAAGAATAGGCGAAGGAACAGGACAAAAGCCCTCTCCCTTCCCCTATTTAAGGAGGAGGCACAATAGTTGGGGAAAGGCAAAGGATTGGGGTGAAAACCCTCTCCCTTCCCCCATTCAATGCGGATAGGATGCGGTGGAACGTGTTCTGACTGATGGGATATGCCCTGCCTGACGAGACAGTGCCTGGTTAGATGGAACATGGCCTGAGCATGGCCCACCACTACCGCACGCCGGGCGTGGGAAACAAGGCGCAACCACACATAGGTGGCCCTCCGCCTTCCCAGGCAGGACCTAGAAGGGCCCAACAACGAGATCTCTGCCTAGGAGAGACCAACAGGCTTTCTGAGTCGATCGGATGGCTCAGGCGAACACCGAGAGACAGGTAAGGTGCAGAGGGACGCCCCATGTGGGCCATGCTGACTCCGTCATGAACGACGAACGTGGATCCCATTCGGACATATCTGATATGAACTCCTCAAGCCTGTCACTCAAGTCATCAAGGTAACTCTACCGATCCCTCTTACTTTATTTTTTCTGATGCATGATCATTCATTCATCCATCATCATACACGCATTCACACATTCATTCATACAGTCAGTCATTCATTCATCCTATATATCCGAAGCATCGCATAAGCAATTGATGCATCACAACGCTCTGTGTTGCGTCACGAAGTGGTAGTTGCCTCATTCAACATGAGCAATGACCGACCAGGGTTCGAAGGTCGGCCCACGAAGGGCTCGAGGCCACCTCACATCAAACAGAGCTAGGGGAGAAAACGTAGATGAGCCCCAGCGGCCCTAGCCCAATCTGCTCAGAATTAGATAGGGTCATCTCAACCTTCTCGTTCGATCCTAACCTCGAGCCATGCCTACAGAATCTCCATCGAGGGGAGGCCATTGGACCACCTGAGTCGGTCTCCGGAACGACCCGGGCATCTGCCGGGACGTGGGTTAAGGAGTAGTGGAATGCCACATGAGGGCTATGCCGACCCCGTCACGAACGATGTACCCGGATTCCACTCGAACGTACCCGTTAGCAAGCTCACCGAGCGCGTCACTCGAGCCATCGAGGCAAGCGATGTTAGCTCAGCCCCTCCGGTTGTGGAAACTATGGACGGGGTAACGCACGGAACTAGACCAACCCCTACCGAGCCTAATGGGGCTCAGGTCGCCCGACACCGACTCAAGAAATCAACCGACCACGTAGGTCACAGGCGAGACACACATGGGCAAAAACCCCAAACAGTGGAAACATAGGAGTTTGTGGCCCCAAGAAAGAGTACCAAGATATTCAGCCTCCAACCGACTCATCAGTCGGACGCAGGCTCGGGGGCTACACCCGCGGGTGCGCTCGTGCGCACCCGCTGTCAAAACAAAAAATTCCCCCGCTGACAAAATGAACCCCCCAGACGATTCAAACCGAATCGCCCGAGGGCTCGGGGGCTACACCCGCGGGTGCGCTCGCGCGCACCCACTGTCAAATCAAAAAATCCCCTAGATGATTATATCCGAATCACCCGGGGGCTCGGGGGCTCTCTGGGGTTCATAAACCCGGGGTCCCTCATGGACCTGCTTCCCAGCAAAAAGCTCAGCCCAGCAGACGATGTTGCAAACGACGCGTAACTCCTGGGCCGACCCAAATACCTAATGACAGGCCAGAAGGAAGACCTAGTCTCCAAACTAGAAGGCCTGGTCAAGGAGGAAAGACGCTCGCTTCTGACCCTAGCCCGCCTCTCCGACCGGAAGGCCTGGCCAAGGAGAGGACGACGCTCGCTTCTGACTCTGGCCCGCCTCTCCGACCGGAAGGCCTGGCCAAGGAGGAACGGCGCTCACTTCCGACCCTAGCCCGCCTCTCCGACCGGAAGGCCTGGCCAAGGAGAGGACGACGTTCGCTTCCGACTTTGGCCTGTCTCTCTGACCGGAGGCCTAGCCAAAGAGGAACGACGCTCGCTTCCGACTTTGACCTGTCTCTCCGAACCTATGCTTACAGCTCTTCTCCAATCAGCGCGGTCGGAGCCAACTGGGAAACAACTGAATGGGGACGTCCGCTCGGCAAGGACCCAGAGAAATAGGCGGAGCAAGTAAGACAGGGCGCTCAAGTCAACCGCAATATCGAGGGTCGTACCCTGCACACCTACAGGGTAGTACTGTCAGGTCATATCAAAAGGGTGCTCTGTAACCTTCTAGACATATCAGAACACGAACAGTGTGGTGGGTGCCGACATTTATCCTACAGTTTGGTAGGCGCCGACATTGGCCATACCAGAAGAATACGATGGAGCCTACCACATGCATCTAGGCGTCAACAGTGTTGTGGGCGCCGATAAACCACCTTGTACCCGACGGCATGGGCAACAAGACGAGGTAGCACACACACTCTCTTTCTCTCACGCTCTCTCTTGTAAAGCCATCCCCTTCATTTATAAAAGGGGATGCGCTCTCTCCAAAAGGAGGAGGATTTCAGACGACCGACGATTCCAACGAACAACAGATGGATCACTCCGATTCTCTCCGCTTGGCTCTAGAACTCTAAAGCCAAATAAAGCATACGTTCGAACACTTAGCGCACGTCGGAGCTCTGGTCACTCTTGGCCCTTCGGTCTGGAGTCCGACCGGACCTCTGATACCCCCATCTTACTCCCTCTTGTTTGTAACCCCACAGCAAACTTCGAGCACCTAGGCTCAGGAATAAAGTCACTGACCGACTCAAACTGGACGTTGGGCACGTTGCCTGAAAAAGTATAAATCCTGTGTCATTGAGTGTTAGGCCACATCCGATCACAACATACGACAAAATGACAAATATTTACCACTTTTCGCACCGACAATATCATTCCCCACTAACTATCTACATCATCTTTCACTAATAGTCATAGCATCTCACTAACTTCCAATCTCTTAGGACATGTTTGGATCATAGCTAGATTATAATAATCTAGATTATGCATAGAATTATAATAATTAGGATTATGGATAATAATAATCAGAGTGTTTAGATCTTTGGATTAGGGTGATTGATTATGGTTGGTTCAAATGAGAAATTCCTATCTTATCCTTTATAATTTGACAAGTTGGACAATTGGTTGGGGGTAAATTGGACTTTTAGCATCCATAATCTCCTATAACCTAGTCTCATCTGGATATTGGGATTATGATAATTAACAATTTTGATTATACTATCTATCATATAATCATTCCTATTTGGAACAAAATTTGATTATATAATCTGATTATTATAATCACCTAGGTATCCAAATAGGGTCTTAACTGTAAGCTATTCACATACATCATCTCTACTCAATTTCATTCAATTTCTTCGCAATCCCTGCAGCAATATAATGCGCGGGGCATATTCTAGCATTTATTAAATTATGTGTTGCAATCGTGCTTTTATGATTCTTTATTTAAGTTACGAAATAAATCTTATGGAAAATTGTACTTGTATGCCATGAAGTTGTAGTAAATAAAATAAAACAGGATATGTAATGCATAATTTCATTTCACACTTTTATAGGCTTGCATATTTAATTATTGCATGGTATTGTAAAATGAAATGAAATGAAATGAAATGTTTTTAGTAGAGTTTTACTCAGTTTCTAACATGTGGGAGCGAAAAGAAAACACTCCTCAATGGAGTTTATTCACTTTGTTTTCAATAAATTGGTAACTGTGCACACCGTGTTTCATCTGAATAGTTCCTGTGTGGCGTCAACATTTTTTTAATGATATATCATCTTATTAAATGCAAATAAAATTTGTATTGGTATTGGCCTAAATACATGTTTTAACAATTAACAAAAAGTACATGTTTTAGTTTCAATGATGGTGGTTGTATAGTTCCAATGAAGGAGGTTGTATGCCATGCGATTCTGTATTTGTTTTGCCAATGCACGAACACTTAACTAGCAGTGGTAAACTAAATTAATTTTTAGAGTTGTCTTAAGTCAACCTTTTTTGATTAAATTTATAAAGAATATAGCAGTATTTATGATATTAAATAAATAAATTATGAAATATAATTTGTAGTGTATCTAATAATATTGATTTGGTGCTATAAATTTTAATGTTTTTTCTATAAATAAATTCGGTAAAAAATGTTTGAGATAACTCTCACTTGATTCAGCGGGCGGAGGGAGGGAGTGATCCCGCGGTGCAGGGTAGCGACCGAGCGCCTAGGGTTCTGTGGCCGCGCGCCCTCTGGCGGTCTGGCCATCCGACCGGACCAGGTCGCCGACGTCCCCCGTAATCCGCACGCGCCCTCGCAGCGCCTCCGGGGCTCCGCCTAGATCTGCGTCGGCCACGGCGCGGCGCCGCTGGAGCTGCAGCCGTCCAGCCGACCGCCGACCGGACGACCGCCGATCACCGACCACCGGCCGAGCCGCCGCAGTGAGCCTCCTCTGTCCTCCCTCCTGCTCTCCTGCATACAATCTCCAATCTCGTTTTGCAGATAGTGATTCAGTGATTGTATTTTTGTTCATGTGCTGAACTTATGAAATAGACATTGATGCACAACTGTACAATACAGAGTAGATTAAGATCAGTAAAATGGAATTTGGTTGAATTTTGTTAATGTGCTAGTGTTGATCGATTCAGACTTGGTCCAGTATATTACTGAAATAGGCAATAAAAAGAGATTTAAAGGGTTGGGATATACCTAGAGATCTTTGTTTGGATAGGAGTGCTTGGAAAGCAGTTATTGACGTGCCTGAACCATGACTAGGGGCTCATGTTGGGTTTTAACTCTAGCCTACACCAACTTGCTTGGAACTAAAAGGCTTTGTTGTTGTTGTAGAGTTTGTTCATGTGCTAGAGTACAATACAGAGTTGCTTTGAAGTAGATGAAGATGAAATACACAGTACTTTCATGTCCAATAGAAGCATAGGCCAAACAAGAAGTATATTTTTCATGGAAAGAAAGTTGCATTCTTGATGTTTGATTCCAGATCTGTGCTGTTCTATACAGGCTAGCTGTGCTTTGAAGCATGGGTTATTTTGAACAAGTTACTCCAGAAGGCCCTGAAACTAATCAGCACGATGAGCAGCGCTCCATACGTTTACATGCATTTTCTGATCTATCACACGTCCCTGCAGCCACTTTTATTTATCTCTTAAAGGACTGCTATGGATATGGTATGCCTACAAATAAATTGCATGTTTCACTATCTATAATCCTTCACTGTTGAAATCTACTCTGCTGCTGATCTTGTTTCACTGTGAAGTCTAATCCTCTAAGCGAATCTTCTAAAAGAGCTTCTGAGAGGAGACAATCATCCCATCCCATTTGTATATTGTTAACTACTGTTTTTCCTTATCAGTTCCTATGTAATCTGTAATTGGAGGGACAGAGTACAATTGTAATAATCACAATATGATTTCTATCACTATTACAGAATTTTTATTAAAATTTGACTGATGGTAGTAATGCTTACAAATAAATTACAGTTTATGTAAAAACTAATTGTTCTCTGAAATTTATATATTTTTTAAATGCAGTTTGTTATAACCCTTAATTATCTTGTTTATAGCTTTTATAATGCTTGGTTATGCTGACATGTGAGGCTCTTATTTTTTGTTACCTTTTAACTCAGGTACGAACAAAGCAACCTCAAAGTTTAAGATCCTCATGCAGCTGGTTAAAGTGGCATTGCATAATGGTCCACAGCCAGGCCCGTTCACATATGTTGTCCAGTGTATGTATATTGTACCTCTGCTGGGGAAAACTTATTCTGAAGGGTTCAGCCATATGTTGACATCCTCTTTAAGGCACTTGAAATCTGTGGAATCAGTACAGAAAGATTTCTTGGAGGCAAAGCACCTTGCCGTACAACTTGTTCTTGATATCCTTGATTCTGTTGTACCCCATGAGAACCGCATATTGATCAAGCTTCTTGAGACATTTGAAATTGAGTTGAGAGACGTGGCTCATGCTTTGTATGGTTCAGAGTTGGATGATGATGATCTAATGAAAGCAAGGGAACATCTTAGACAGCAAGTAAAGCGCTGTATGGAATCAGAATCCAATGCAGTCGCTGTGGCTCTAATAACACGTTTTTCCATCCAATGCTGTGACGAGTCCTTTATCATAAAATTGATTGAAAACAATCAATTAGAGATTGCAGAGGAGTGTGCTACTTTCATGGGCAAGGAAATGATATCTTTAGTCATTCAAAAGTATCTAGATATAAAAATGCTGAAGAGTGCGAACAAATTGGTCAAAGAACATGAACTCACTGAAGAGTTCCCAGATGTTAGTTATTTGTATAAAGAGAGGTGACATTCCTGTTGCTCACTTCAAAGTCCCTACACCTACATATAAATTCTTTACCAAACTTCTAGAATTGTGAAACATTTTACTATTTGCAGTTTAGTAAAGAAGTTGGCTGAGAAAGGATGCTGGGATATTGCAGAAACTAGGGCCAAGAAGGAAACAAAACTCCTGGAATACCTGGTAATGTGTGTCCACATTGCCACAATCAATGTTTTGGTTAGATATACCAGAAGACAGATGCATTTGCTTTAGGAAGATTCATTTGATCTAGGCAAGGAATCTATATGCCCCTGCATTTCTTTTTGGATGAACTGGCGAGGAGAATTACCTTCTTCTGGTTATGTGTTGGGCACACATGATAGTTCGTAGAAATACGATCCCCATGTTCTATGAAATGACTATATTGATATATTCTCTTGCTAATTAACATCATGTGTCATGAAAATGCAATTTAACAGATCTTCTGGTGTAGTTCGTAGAAATACGATCCCCATGTTCTATAAAATGACTATATTGATATATTCTCTTGCTAATAAACATCATGTGTCATGAAAATGCAATTTAACAGATCTTCTGGTGTAGGTATATTTAGCAATGGAAGCTGGTTATATGGAGAAAGTTGATGAGCTTTGCCAGCGATACTCTCTTGAAAGTTATGTTGATTCTTTGGGTAAGCTAGAAGGCTAGAAAGTTAATTATCCAACATTAAGTTACAGAGGCATATTTTGTTAATTAGTAGTCATTTCTTATAGTGGTAAATACTCCCTCCATTCCAAGTTATAAGACATTTTGGCTTTTGAAGATTCATTGCTTTTACTATGTATTTAGACATAGTGTATATCTAAGTGCATAACAAAAGCTATGTATCTAGAAACGCCAAAACATCTTATATTTTGGAATGGAGGGAGTAGTAGCTTATGTTATAGGACCACACATTTATGATAGTTATAAAAAAAAACACTCAACTTATGTTTCATTGGGATTATATAACCACTAGAGCGATAAAGTTTATGACTTTCTGGTGGAAGTGGAACTTCAAAAGCTGGGATGTCTAATAAAAAAAGTATTATGAAGATGTGTGTTACAAGCCTCTCAATTCTCAAAAGGACATTTAAACAGTTCATGGGAGATTGGGCTATTTGACATCCGATTCACAAGACTTTCAAAACAAAACACAATTGGTTCACAGGAGCCTACGGGCTCTATGACTGTTGATTTGTGCTACTACTGCATAGATGACTTGGCAGCAGAAAACCAGCTTACAGAATTGCTAACTAGTTGCAAAATTGTATATGGAACTCTAAACATTTATAAACAAAAAATTTACTGCTACAAGGAAAAATCACCAACACTGGAAGAGGTGAGAAAATATGACATCTTGAGTGGATACAAAGTTAGCTGATGATAATTTTTTTTTGGCATAGACAGTAGTTTTTGAGGTCTTTTATACTCTTCACGGCAACACATGTAATCTCTAAAACGTTTATTTTTGTGTGTTGTACTTTCCCTTTCTTCTTTAATGTAATGATATACAGCTCTCCTGTGTGTTTCGAGAAAAAAATGTTTTAATTTTACTCTAGTTTAGTTTTGTACAATACATGCTGATTGCTGATGAATCCCATCAGGATTCTCTTGTTTATGGATGAATGACATGACACGAGGTGAAAATTGAGCCATGAATTCAGTTGATCTAGCATTCCAATTTGAACTTGTGTATTGTGTTTTTGTTGTCATCCCATTTTGCAGTCCCACCCTAATTTATTTGAACAGTTATGAACAATATTTTAAAAAAAAGATTCACATGATTTGCTACCTTTTACTGTCTTCATTATATTTCTATTCTTGATGCAATTATTTACGATGTGCAAGGCAGTTCCGGAGAAGGTTTTCTGTGTATCTGATTACTTAGATCTGAAGAAATTGGATGTGGAAGAAATTGTCTGGGTTGATGAGATCAATGGACTGCTTAATGCAACAAGTAATATTGAAGCTTGTAAAATTATTGGCATGGATTGCGAGTGGAGACCTAATTTCGAGAAAAATACTAAACCTAGTAAGGTAAGTAACACCTTGCTTTGTACTAGTATATGTTTCAATGTCTTTTTAGTTTTCTGGGTTCCTCACTGATAGTTCTTTCTCAGAAAGCATGGCTGAGTAAACTAGGCGAAATGATTGTTTTAGGTTTCCCATGTGTCATTGTGGGTAGTTTAGTAGTTCGACCAAGAGGATGAAACCATTCAGCACCTCCTCTGTTCCTGTGTCTTCTCTCGGCAATTCTGGTTTCAATTACTTCGCACCTTTGCACTCCCGGATATTGCACCTCAGCCATCTGCCACTGGGTTCTTTGACTGGTGGCAACAAGCCGGTAGCACTCTTGACAAAAGAACCAAGAGAGGATTCAATTCATTGGTCATGCTAGGAGTCTGGATGCTTTGGAAGGAGAGAAATGATATTGTGTTCAATGGTGCCTCGCCTAGGATAGAGCGGGTGCTTCTCCTTGCACAAGAAGAAGCCGCTCTCTGGAGGTTGGCAGGCGCTAAAGGCATTAGTGAACTGGTCGCTGCTCGACCTGGGGTTTAGCAGCGCCTGTTGAGGGAGGTCGACTTTTTACAGTTTTAATAGGCACGTATGTAACCTAGAGACGGTGTGTAAAGTTGGTGTGTGCTGTTGTATGGCTATATAAGCCTTTTATCCCCTTTCTTAATGCAATGATACGCAGCTCTCCTGCGTATTCCAGAAAAAAAAGTAGTTACTTTGTTTTTTTTTTGGAAAACGCAGAAGAGCTTTGATCAATTTCTTTATGAAGAGACAATAAAGTACGAAAGAGAACACCCCCCCCCTTCACCACACACACACACACACATGCACACACAGACACACCCTTTTAGATAAATTAACTAGACGCCACACAGACTTTTACACAACCAGATTAGTGACGATGGACTAAGTATCCGGGGCAAGTGACTAGGAGAAGCTCCTGGAGCACATGGGCCCTAGCTAAACACCGGAGACTACTTTCTTTTGTCATTGTTTGATGATCACTGAAATTTGGACTAGTGCCATTGAAAACAAAATCTGCAAGTTGCTTCCAAAAGAAGCTCCCAAGCCACTAAGGATAATCAACAACTTCGGACTCTTTTGTAGTTCTTTAGGAACAACGCCCTTGATGTCTTGGCACCGCCAACTTGAGAAATGAATCCGTGAACCTTATGGTGCAACTGCAATCAAATGTAGCTTCTTGAAAGGTTAATGCCCAGACTTGCTGAGTGAATATGCAGGAGACAAGTATATGTTGAATTGATTCCTCAGCTTGATCGTAGAGGAGTAGGTTGTTGGATTTGGTAATCTGCACTTGGCAAGATGGTCAAAGTCCAACATCAAATTGTTAACAGCTAGCCATATGAAGAATTTCTAGCACAGAGGAACACAACATTTCCAAATTGTTTCCATGGTGCAAACCTGATGGATCAAATGAAGTAAGTGTTATATGATGATTTGCTGGTGTAGGAGCCAGACCGTGTAAATTTCCATTTTGCTGATCAGGTATGTCTTGCTGTAGGACCAGAGACGGAGCCAGAAACACTAATTTTCCTGTGACGTTTTTTTTTTTGGGGGTGGGGGGTGGGGGTAGTACAGAGTTCCTCAAAATTCGATTTGAATCTTAAAAGTCAGATATGTAGATAATCAACTGTAACCTGGACGGTGAGAGTTCCCTTGATGTCTTCCACCCATCTTCTGTTATTCAAAGCCTGCGTCGCACTGCACTGTTTCCTTGATCTTCGATGGATTTTTTTTTCTCTCGAACACGCAGGAGAGCTGCGCATCTTTGTATTAAGAAGAAAAAGGGAGTAGGAGCCCTTACAATACACACCAACACACCCAAGAGACTAAGAGAGTAGACATGAAGTTTAGTAGTTATCAACACGTTGCCAATTCATTTCTTTTGTTGCTAAGTTTCTGCAAGCTTTATTCTTTTTGAACCACTGTATATTAGTACTCTTTTTTCCCTTATCTCTTTGCATAGTAGTTATCCTCGTGATTGATTTTAGCTATTTGGTCAGGTCTCAATCATACAAATTGCATCAGATAAGGTAGCCTTCATTTTTGATCTGATTAAATTGTATGAAGATGACCCAAAAGCATTGGACAGCTGCTTGAGGCGTATTATGTGTTCATCTAAGATACTAAAGCTGGGTAATGTTATGTATTTCTGTCATCTCATATGGTCCTCTTTAAAAAATATCTTTGGATTTTATATTGGATGATAACTTACCTTTTGTACATTGGACACCAAAGGCTATGACATTCAATGTGATCTTCATCAACTAATGCAATCCTATGGAGAATTGGAATGTTTTCAGTCCTATGAAATGCTACTTGATATGCAGAAGCTGTTTAAAGGGGTTACTGGTGGCCTCTCTGGATTGTCGAAGGTATATAAATATACAATCGTCATAGAATAAACTGGTTGCAGTTAACTGTTGTCCATCTACTTTTGACATTTTCTTGTTAGGTAGAGTGTATGACATGTTCATGAAATGCTGCCAGGAAATATTAGGAGCTGGTTTGAACAAGTCCCGGCGTAATAGCAACTGGGAGCAACGGCCACTAACCCAAAATCAGGTCAGCCACTGTTATTGGTGCCCTTTTTTCTTGTTCCCTTGAAAGCAGTCCTGTAATCATGTGAGTGTTAACACCTACTTCTAGGTATTCGCAATTGATTTGTCATATCTGGGTTCTGTAATTTAGTAGGTTGCTAATAGAGTCTACTACTCCCTCTGTTCCAAATTTATAAGACATTTTGGCATTTCTAGATACATAGCTTTTGCTATGCACTTAGATATACGTTGTCTAGAACTCTAGATACATAGCAAAAGCAATATATCTAAAAAATCCAAAACGTCTTATAATTTGGAACGGAGGGAATACATTCTTTAGCAAAGCTTTCCTCAAGAGGTAGTTTTAGGCATTCTTACTTGGTTTTGAATTGAAGAGAATGTTGGAGTTAGCTGAGAAATAATCAGCCAGGGCAACTCTCCCAGGCGACTGCATTGCAATATATAGAGGATAAGTACTGCATTGATTACATACAGCTCACTAGAGCTTTAACTAGACAGAATATCTGCCTGGGTACCCGCACAACTCTTGGGCTACCCAAGGATTTAATGACATAGATTAACTAAAAAACTTAAATACACTAAATGTGCCTGGGAAGCAGGGCTTACAGCTACAGAGAAATGGTACTCCCTCATTCCCAAAAAGAATGCAATTTTTCTGATGGTTAGTACTATTTTTAATAGATTTGGTCACCTCGGAAAGGGCGAATTGCAATTTTTCTCGGTCAGATGGAGTATGGTTTACACCTGTAACTGTAATACATTGTGTGCATGTTTGGATGCCAGCCATAGTTTGCCATGCCTAACGTTAAGTACCAACCACATCTGTGGCTTGCCATAATCTGTGGCACAAATAGATTGTTTGGTTAGTGACTAAGGTTTGGCAAAATAAGTGTGGCTGCTGTTTGGATTACAACCAAAAAAAACTTGGGGCATCTGTTTGGATTAGTAAAAGCAACAGCACCATATAAATATGAAACAACTAGTAGCACTAAAAATGGAAGAGAAAATAGTGACCAAATTAATCTTAGCAGTGTTAACGAACAAACAAAAAAAAACTACAGCATATTTCCCTATAGGTGAGGAGCTACATGCGGGAATTGCGCAACTAGCAAGTATGGATGCTCGGTCATGCAACATGCAGCTTCTTCGAGGCAGCTGGTTCATGTAGCATGCAGTTGGTCAGTCCATTAAAGAAATGGATGGCAGCATGCAGCTCCTTGGCGCGCCGTGGCGGCCGGTGTGGCGCAGAAATAGCCTGCCACACTTTTGGCGGAGAAATCTGTGGCGAGTGGCTGCCGTGGCTGTGGCGAATACCAAAGTTGTTGTGGCAAACCTAATGTTAAGCGTGGCTAAGGTATGGCCAGCAACCAAACATCCCCTGTGACTTCAAGGCTTATAAAGGTAGTTTATAAGTTTTTTGTGGCTAAAAAAGGGAAAAAAGATAGCATTGTTAGCTACCTAGGGCTGGATATCGAGCCGGCTCGGCTTGGTCCATCTTGAGCTAGCTCGTTAGGCTAACGAGCCAGCTCGGCTTGGCTCATTAATATTACGAGCTAGAGGGGCAGCTCGGCTCGGCTCGTTACCGAGCTCGAGCTGGCTCGTTTAGCTCACGAGCTACCACAAAAAAAAATAGGACACACATGTTTATAATATTTATGCTACATTAATTCTAGAAGGTGACGTCCACCATTATGCAAAAGTATCAACCATGCAACATAGCTGGTCCATCCATGATCATCCAGTTCCAGCATACTAACTAGTTGTTTGCCATCACAAACTTAGGAAAGTCCACAGATTCAATGTCAGCATGATCATCTTCTCCCTGGAAAACGATCCATAAAATCAACATTTAAGTACCACAACAATTATAAAATTAAAATTCATATGAAACAGCTGAAAATAAGGATTACATATCAATAGAATAGGTGTACACTTCTAGGTCAGCATCATCATCTTCTGGATTCATGGTCGTGGGCTGATAGGCCTCAGCTCGTGAGCAGCTCGCGAGCTGGCTCGAGCTGACTCGTTAAAATAGCGAGCTAGATTTCCAGCTCAACTCGTGAAAAAGTTAAAACGAGCCGAGTCGAGCGAGTTGGCGAGCTGCGAGTATTTTGTCCAGCCCTAGCTACCACCTTGAAAAAAAATACTCTGACACTATCGCCTTGCCTTGTTCTCATGTGCTAGCTATATTTCTTTTTATTTGATTCTGGGTTATGCACATCTTGGTGGGAAGCATTAGTTTAATTGGGTCAAACCTGCGCCATAACTCAAAACTGTGTCAAAATTGGTTAGATATCCTGTTTTTCAAGTTTGGTTGCTAAAAATAGATGTCCACATGCTCCTGTTTTGTAGAAAGAGTATGCTGCTCTTGACGCTGTGGTCCTTGTGCATATATTCCATGAACACATGCGGAGGCAAGCACAGTTTGGTGTCTCCGAGGGAAACAAAGTGGAATGGAAGTCTCACGTTGTAAGTTGTCACTCTACACACCTGGCGAGAAATAATTCCACTGCTTCGTGTGATACTCCAGGGCATCAGCTGATACAGCTAACTGTCTTTTGCAGGTTTCCCGAGTGAATAGCACGCGTAGGCCATTGCGTTTCTAGTAGGGGTAGACAAGCTGACTAATCACTAATGTTGGAGTGAATTACTTCTAACATCTACATGTGCCGTCTTTTGAAGCTTAAACTTCCGAGGAACCAGACTGTTTCCTTTGACAGTTCTCTGGCATCATAGGCTCATAGCTGATCCCCAGAATCTAGTGCTGCGACTTCGTTACTGTTGCCTTGTATATATTACCTCCATCAGAGTTTTTACCTTCCTGCTGTATTGCATTCATGCTGAGGGCAATCGGTACCAGTTGGATTTCGAACCCATTTTCTGTTATGAATTTTTTTGAAACACATTTTCTTTTATGAATTAGAGCAACTTTCGTAGGGCCTAGTAGGATCTCTATTAGGACCCTCAAGTTTGGGTGGGTACCTAAATCCTCCCTCCGGCCTCATTCTTGGGGGCTCACCCTGAGGCCCCCATTCTACAGGGACGATGGTTCCTCTCCTGCGTCGCTTTTCCGTCCATGCAAGCTGCACTTTTGCGCCACTCGGAAGGGTCACTCAATGGATCTGGGAGGTAAAGGGATCGGTAGGGCGGCTCTGGCGAGGGAGCTCAGCATCCCTATCGATGAGATTGAGGATGGGAACAGAGATCAGCTCTGTCAATGAGATTGAGGATGAGAAACAGAGAATCACAAGTGGGTCTGTTATGTTAGTGGCTGTTAAAAACGATTTGAGGGCTATTGTATGAGCAGATTAAAAAAAAAGTAGAAACCCTGATTTGAGGACTCATGTTGGAGACGTAAGTGTGCATGGGGCAAGAAAGTCAGAGGATTGTTTCCGTATTATTGGAAGTGAACGAACTTAGCTTAATAGGTTGGGGGTGGGTGAGAGATGTAGACGCATATCCTAACAACTTATTTGGGTCAATTCCTCTTTAACTCGGATTTGGGTGCTTATTTTTCTTTTTTTTTAATTAACTGCCTAGTTCTGCTTAGGTTAGGTCTTACAACTTGCGCTCATTTAAACCTGTTTTCTTCTTAATTAATTATTATATTAAAAAACGGATTTGTTCTCTCCTAGGGTAGGTCTTATTTTAAGTATTACCGCTCTATTTAGGCCAATTTAATTTGCAGCTTATTTACAGTTTCAGGCACAGTTATTTGCTCTCCCTTTGGCTGCTCATGAGTTTTGTTTTGTTTTTTGAATCTCGGCTGCTCATGAGTTGCTAATTCGGATAATCAGGCCCAGTGGCCCTTAGAAACCCGAGTTTCTATAAAAGGCCGAGTGATCTCACTATCTCAGCTTATATAAAGACAATGTCGATTTGTTAATTTGAGATAGAGACAGGTAAATAATTGAGTTATACGCACTGTCGCCTTCCATCGATCGTGGCATTACCAAGACCAGCAATATAAAAGATGCGGAAAAGTGGAGCGTCAGGGAATCTTTAGAAAAGAGAGGTTGCATGTTGCACCTTCCTTTCATCATTATTTTTAATTCTTTCCCCGTCTTTGCATCTAAGCATCGAATTTGTTGTTGCATGTTGCAATCTTGCTTCTTGCTTGTGAATATCAGACTCACTCCTGGTTGCAAGTATCGAGTGATTGATCGGGGCAGCCAATATAGGAGTCAACTCTGTTTTGCCATGGAATGGTGGTGAATATAAAGTCCACTACATCTAAATGAAATTTAAGTCTTTGAGAATGATTATATTCTAAAACATGCAGTAATTTCCACACAATTGGAGTACATCTTTAATCACTAATAACTGTCCAAGTATTAAATCTGAAAACAATTGCATTCATGCGTAATTTTCAAAAATTAGGCTACACAGCACGGAATTGCCCTTGAGTTTGAGAGTGAAAACGTGGGCCCGAAAGGCTGAATTGCTTCTTATCCTCTCCCATCTGCTCTCGGGTGGGGGGAGCTATCGTTCCGGATCAGCGACCAAGACAACCGGGCGTTCCATTCCGCGGTGCCGTGGTCCCCGCCTCCCTCCCCGGGCCCCATCTCGGCCGCCAATTTAATTCCACAGCTCCGTGCTGAACGGCCCATGGTCCACCACGTCACCGGTAAGCGGCGACCAGACATCGCCATGGACCACGTGGCCTACTACTCCCGCTGCTGGGCCACCTCATTTCATGGGCTGGGTCGGACCGCATGGCAGAGTGACACGGCTGCGAGCTACTACTCCAGCTCCTTGGCTCCGTTTACACAACACAGCTGCACACGGCGCACGAAACGAGTAGATAGACATCTCAATGACAGTGGGTCACCGGTTCCTGATCTCCAGGGCCCGGCGTTCCTGCAGCACGTGCACGCCGGCGAAGGTAGCGCGGGCTCTGCGGTTGCCACCACACAGGGCACTGACAATGGGCTCACCAAAATCGCGGACCGGCAACCCAGTGTGACGTTACCTCCCTGCACGGTCCCACGTACACGGTTCCCTCGCCTCCGAGGCTCTTGAGTCCGAGCGAGCGCACGAGAAGAAGCTCAGGCGAAGCGTGGCAGAAGGATGCCGTGACGACGGAAACGAAGAAGCCGAGAGGGAGAAGCGAAGCGAGAGCCTTCTTACATAGACCCGGCCCCGTACCAATGCCCACCGCTTCCGCCTCATCAGATCCCAAACCCTAACCCTAGTCGACCGTCCGCGGGCCCGCCGCCGGTGACGCGCGCGATCGGGCGCCGACGCCCGCTGACGCTCTGTGTGCCGCGTCCGTGATTCTGTCGTCACGCAAGGAAGCGTTGGAAAGGGGGGCTCCCTGCCCAATCCCCTGGCCGCAGCGGCGACGCGCGGCCGAGGCGCGGATCGGGGAGGGGAGGACGGCTGAAGCGAGATGCCGGGGGACGTCGCGACCTCGCCGGCGCCGGCGCCGCCGTCCGTGTCCTCGTCGTCGCAGAACCACCACCATCACGGCCCCACGACCTCCCGCGGCCTCCTCTGCCACGCCGTCGCCGGCGCCTCCGCTGGTAAGTGTGATAGCGTTTGCGCTGGAACTCCCCTATGCATTTCGGCCTGTGGTTTCCTTCAGTGTTTCGGGCTTTGGAGGTGATTTGGGCTTTGGGCGCAGGTGTGGTGGCGGCGACCTTCGTGTGCCCGCTCGATGTCATCAAGACCAGGTTCCAGGTACACGGCTGGCCCAAGCTTGCCACAGGCACAATTGGAGGTGAGGACTTGCTCCAACGATTCCCTGCGAATTTTGCTTCAATTTGTTGCTCTTGTTGAGTTAGAGACACATGCAAACCTGTCTGGAACAGCGAGCTTGTCCTGGTGTCGTTGAATTGTGCTGTTGACGCAGGAGGGGTGCATAGGCTGGGAAGAATGGAATATTTGCATGGGAAGAGGGGCGCATTGTTGTCAACCTGTGTGAATTTTGTGCTTGGCTTGGTCTGTGATGTCATGTGGACAATTTGAGATTCAGAGAGGTTCGAGAAAATCTGCTAGTATGGGGAGACTGCTTAAGTTTACGCTTGTGGTGTCTCTTTTGACCTGGACCATCCAAGATTCAGGGAATTGTGAGAGAATCTTTTTGGTAACTTAGGATCCACATTTAGGTTTTGTAACGGTTCGAATCCATTTTTTTTTGGACGGATGTCTTATCCTTAAGGCTTACTATTGGTTGGTTGTGTAGTTGTCTAACGGTTATTTCTTAGCTCCCTGCATGACTTGAAGTATCAGTGCTTCCATGGGAATGCGACAAGGGGAGGCGTCACGCGTGTTGTGCTGTCGTTGTGAATTTACAATGCCATGCATGTTCGAGAGTGGGAAAGGCACGCAAACTCTCACTAACAGGGGTTGCACTTGTCGTTTATGCTTATGCACGTGAAAAAGTCAGAGATCGGACAAATATTTGAAGTTTCAAACATTGCATGCAAGACTAATTGTCTGTGGGCACTATGTCTGTTGTCATTTTCCATTATGAATGTCTTGTTTGCCTTATATGATGTTTGTTCTTTGGTTATACGTGTAAAATAGAGTATACCTAATATTTCCTAGTCTCGTGTTTTTGAGATTTATATTGAGTTTTGCTTGTATTATGTTATGTACAACCAATACCCAACAAGCATATCATGAATGCAAAAAAGTTTTAAACTGCCAGAATGTTCTCAAGCTGGCAGACTATCGCAGACATGTGCGCTTTGTGTTGCTTGTTAGTTGTTACTACCAAATTTGTTGAAGTTTCAAACAATGCATGCAAAACTGTAAGTGTGTCTCTGGGCACGATATGTCTATTGTCATTTTCCGTTATGAATGTCTTGATTGCCATATATGGAGTTAGTTCTTTGGTTGTACATGTAAAATAAAGTATTAACTGATATTCCAAGCCTGGAATGTAACCATGGGTGCTATGAGCACAAATGTTCTCACGCTGGCAGATTATCGCATACATATGTGCTTTGTGTTGCTTGTTACTACCAAACTTGTGATGCTTAGCTCATTATTTACGCTGCATCTGTGTTCTGCACTAGAATTGTTTTATCGTTGTGTCAGGAAATGCTTCGAGGTATTACATTTGAATTGTCTTTGAACATTGAGATTTATTATGTGTTGTGTCAATCAATACTAGGTAGTGTAATTATTGGGAGCTTACAGCAGATTGCTCAACGGGAAGGTTTTCGGGGAATGTATCGTGGCCTCTCCCCAACTGTTCTTGCGCTCTTGCCTAACTGGGCGGTGAGTATTCCCTATATTGTCTGCTTTACTTACCATAGATGCATGCAAAGGTTTCTGCACAAAAGAGTACAAATAACAATTAGACCTTTGTAAAGATTTTTCTGCACTCCATCTGTGGCAACTAGAAAATCAGTCAGATGCCTATGTTCTTCTATTAGCTTATTGTTCTCTTGTGGAATGCAGGTCTACTTTACTGTATATGAGCAACTTAAAAGCTTGCTTTCTTCCAATGGTTAGTTCTTTACCCTACATATTACTTATTAGTTCTTTCCAGCATAAATTCTAAGTGGTACCATACATTGATTTTGTAGATGGAAGTCATCAACTTTCTTTAGGGGCAAATGTTGTTGCTGCATCATGTGCTGGAGCTGCAACAACTATTGTAACAAATCCACTTTGGGTTGTGAAGACAAGATTTCAGGTATGCTAGCGCTGAGAGCATAATCTCATGTAGAAAGTTTTCTGTGTAAGCGTTAATTAATAGGTAATTATTCGAAAGTCTCTTGGGATTCTATTCCCTTTATGATGTTTACTGTAGGTTGTACACTTGCCGAATAAGTCCAATCTGAAATGGAACCTCCATGACCCAAGATATGGCTTATGGCCTGCTGGGTTCATGAAAACATGCATATGCTTTTGCAAACCTCCATATATTTTGCTAAACGGAAACGATGGAAGTGTCTTAGGTATTTAAGATCTGGATTAATATTGAAACAGACTCCTATCCAATACCTATAATTTTAAATGTAGAGTGGCATATGTGGATGCTCCATCAGGAGCCAATATATTTTTTTTAAAAAAATCTGTCTTTCTTGCCCTACTTTGTTACGAGGCATAGTATATGTGGAAGTTGATGACATATGGAAATCCTGTTAACACATCAATATGTTCCTTTTTATAGACCCAAGGAATAAAAGCCGGGTCAATCCCGTATAAAGGTACACTTGCTGCCTTGAGAAGAATAGCACATGAAGAAGGCATCCGAGGACTA